CAGTCCTCACGAGGTCAGTACCAACGCTCAATACAGTCCTCACGAGGTGTGTGGGTCGTGCCTTACAGCATCTGACTGATCGGTATGTGGCCTAGCTAGTCCGTCCCAGATGAGGCCTGTGCCACGCGAGGTACGACCCAGATTACTTTGAGTCGACTCAAAGGTCACCTCAGGTAAAGAGTGAATTTTTGAGACGTCTCAAAAAAATAACTCTTTACACGTGGCTTTTGAGTCCACTCAAAAGTCACCTCAGTGCCCCACGAGGTACGGCCCAGGTGACTCGTTGCATGTGCTTGACTTGACCTCTTGAACACCCATTACAGTGTTTCTTTCTCTTCTCTTCTCTTCCCCCTGAATGCTCAACGAATTCCCTCTCAACCCCCCTCCCCTCCCTTGTTCCCTTCCCCCGTGGTTGGTGTGGCAGCTCATCCCGGTGTCTGTCAGTGACGTGGCGTTTTCAGCATACCAACCACCTTGCCAACCCTCCCTTCTCAAACCACCCCCCATCCTCCCCTCCCAACAACCCCTGTCCCCCCTGCTCTTCCCCCGTGCTTGTGCTGGCAGCTCATCCCGGTGTCAGCCAGTGACGTGGCGTTTTCAGTGCATGCCGTCGCGCTCACTGCCTTCACAGTGTGGCAGTGCATGGTGTACGATGTGAGTGATATGATGCGATGCGAGGGAGTGCATGATGTGAGTACTGCATGCTGTATGTATGGTGTATGATGTGAGTGGTGTGATGTGGTGCATGGAGTATGATGTTTTGAGACGTCTCAAAACCCAGTGCATGCCGTCGCCCTCACTGCATTCACCGTGTGTGTGCCAGTGCATGGTGCGCAATGTGAGTGATATGATGTGATGCATGGAATTTGTTGTGAGTGATGCGTGGTGTATAATGCACTCTCTCCTTCCATGCTTCTAACTCTCCCTTCGCTCCTGCATTCCCCTCCATTATATGAAATGAGTGCAGAGGGGAGGGCAGCGCGTGTCATGGACGTGCAAGGCCATCTCCCTGGGCGTGTGGCTCTTTGCGCTCCTCTCCTCGCTGCTCTCCTCCTTCCACCATGACTGGCTTGGCCTCGTCACCACCTTCAAGTGCGACTCACCCTGCTGCACCGCACCACACCACATCACACCACACCACACCGTACTCAACGTTGCTTTCCACCACCTGCATCATCCCTCTGTGCCGTGCCCACTGCACTCATTCACCCTCTTCCCCTTTCGCACTCAAAGTGCCCAGACGAGTGTTTGTCTGTCTGTTTGTCTGTGTCTGTCTGTCTGTCTGTCTGTCTGTCTGTCTGTCTGTCTGTCTGTCTGTCTGTCTGTCTGTCTGTCTGTCTGTCTGTCTGTCTGTCTGTCTGTCTGTCTGTCTGTCTGTCTGTCTGTCTGTCTGTCTCCACTGTTCCCTCTTCATCGCTCAGTCTCCATGCTCCCTTTGCACCTTCATGTCGCCATAAACCCACCGGCCTCCCTTCTTCTCCCCACCCACCGTTTTCTTTCTGCGTGTATGTCCACCCTTGCCCCGCCCTGCCCCACACCATGGAACTCACAGCTACATCCAGGTGGTCATGACCACCATCAAGTACATTCCCCAGGTACGGCTATTTGACTGGTGAGGCTGCCACATGCCACATGCCACGCTACCATACACCGCATCTCTGTACCCGTTCAAACTCACAGCCACATGCCACATGCCACGTGCCACTTACCACATGGCCACTGCATCTTTATCCATGAATGCATGCATCAGCACGTATGGGATATGTTTTGAGACGTCTGAAAACACTACTGTTATAATCAACACGTATGTGATATGTCACTGGCACACGTTGTGTGGTCCCGTGTGCCAGCGGCACATCCCATGTGCCTGTCACATAGTTCTTCCATCCACACACAGCTACAAACAATTCAGTGGTCATGAGGCATGGCCACTTTTAGTACTTGTAATGGATAGCTGCATCCTCCAGTTATGCTCATGGATTGCTGCCACTTGGTCTGGTAGTGCTCATGTGCTAAATGTGCATGAATATTCATGTGTCTATACGTATGGATGCATACATGTACGTATACATACCTACCTGCTATCCACTCCTACTCATAACCGCCAGGCGTGGTTCAACTGGCAGCGCCGCAGCACAGTGGGGTGGAGCATCAGCAACGTGCTCATGGACCTGACTGGCGGCACAGCATCGCTGCTCATGATGTTCGTGCAGTCCATTGATCAGAGTGAGTCATTTCCGAAACCACTGTCGTTGATGACACAAATGAGCACAAAGTAGCCATGCGTACGCACGGGCATCACACTGGCGGCACCGCATCGCTGCTCATGATGTTTGTGCCCGCCTCATCCTTCATGCCACTTCTGTGTCTGAGTTGACTCAAAAACAGGCGGTCGTTCGACCGCCTCGAGTGAGTTGCATACCTTGTCCTCCATGCCACCCCTCTGATGAGCATCTGGACGCACCAAAATCCAACGGGCCCGATTTTTTAGACGTCTCAGAACTTGTCAGGCGTGTTACTGACATCTTTTGATCGCGTGTTTGGACGATTTCCGGTTAAGTGACGACTTTGAGGCGCCTCAATTATGTTACTGACATCGTTGATGAGTGTTCGGACATACAAGAATCCAGCAGGTCCTTTCTCACCCTCATCTGCCCCAATTTCTCCCAACTCCTTGCTTTCAACCCCCACCCATCGCCACCCTCCATGCTCTAACAGACGCATTTCAACTCCACAGGCAATGTGGGGAAGCTAGCCCTCTCACAATCTTTCAACCTCTTACCAACTCTTACCCTACTCCCCCCCACTCCCGCCCCCTTCTCACCCCCCAAGGCCATTTGTTAACGCCATCGGCAATGTGGGCAAGCCTCTAACCTCCTTCACCTTCTTTCACGCTCCCTCGACCTCTTACCAACTCTCGTCCACTCCTGCCCACTCCTCCCCCGCTCTCGCCCTCCCAGACTCATTTGTCAATTTCACAGGCAACGTGGGCAAGCTCGCCCTCTCAGGGGTATGCATTGGGTTCAGTGTGGTGTGATGTGGTGTGGTGTGGTGTGGTGTAGTATACTTAGTTGTTCGTGACGTCTACAGTCTACACCATGTACGTAGACTTCAGCTGTCCTGTGCTATCCCGTTCGCTGTGTTACACGCCCCTTGCCCCTCACTTCTCACCTCTCTTTTGAAAGAAAAGAGTTTCTCAGTTCATGTTCACTTTGCAGCACTACTCTCTCTTCCCACCCTCCCTCTCTTCCACTTCCACCCTGTATCGCCCCCTGGCATCGGTCAATAGCCATTAACATACTCTTTGCCATACAGCACTACGTTCTGTTCCCCTACGCTCTTCCTCTCCCCCTCCCTTACGCCCCACCCTCAACACTTCCCCCCCCCACTGCTCCTCCCTTGCAGGAAACAATAGCCTTTGACATCCTCTTTGCAGTGCAGCACTACGTCCTCTTCCCGCACGCCCCTGCTCTCCCCCTCTCCACCACCTCCGCCTTCTCCGCCCACCCACCCACACTCGTGTCTACGCCCCTCCATGGGGAGGGGGAGAAGGAGGGCAAGGGGAAGGGGGAGGCGGAGGAGGAGCAGCTATTAGCAGACGAGTTCACCCGCCTCCTGCCATCGCGACGGTCGGGTGGCTTATTCTGATTGGAGGGATTGAGTATGCCTGTGGGTGGTGGTTGTGATTGGGGTAACTGTGGATTGGGGTTTCATACATGTTTGGTCTCTGGCATTAGTCTTGGGTTGCAGTTGTCTTTTGCTCCATGACCTTGTTCTACCACTTGACCTGCTCGCGTCGCATGAGTTGGCCTTTCGTTCCATGTGCATGTTTCAACATCCACAGGTTCTTCTGTCCTTACGCAACATCCACATACTAACACATCCCATTCTTGTTGTTGCATGTTACAGGGAAAGCAGCAGTATATCGCTGAAGTCTTACGACAAGGATCAATAACATTGGGCTGGGTTGGGAGGGATCTCTCACGAGCTTGAAATTGTGCAACACAGATTGCAGGTTCCTGGATATAAAACTTCTGGTCAATTTAGGCACGATTATCATGCCGTTAGGCTCGCTTCCAATTCCAAGTTCCAAGCCTTTTGTGCATAGTTATCAGATATGAACACCAAACAGGCCCTCAGATATCAGCGTAAAACACGTTGATTAGGCTGATTTTGTAGCTGTGATTTTCGTTTTCCCTGAAATTTCAGTATCTTCTTTATATTTGCACTGATTTTCCAGTTTGAAGTATAGGACTACCCTGACGAATTAGTGTATAGGTGTACCAATGACACTGAACCATCAGTAGAGTGTACTGAGTCACACTGATTCGGACTTACAAAAATGCATAGGGTACAAGACATGGGGTGCGCGGACGTGGGATTAGGCCGTAAATCACCACCACGTACTAATACACTCTCACGGGACTTGAGCCCGGGACCTCTCTAACAACAGGACGAAGCCTCAGACAGCTCCGTTAAAAATTCTGATTACGAAGTTTAAATTTAATTTCTACTAATAAATCAGTTAACCATGAAATTTTACCCTGACAAAATCAGCATAAACTTCACCCCCAACGCTGATCTGGTCACTACTTTGGGCAGGGCACACTGATCCATCAGCATGCCCTGAAACCAATCTGAGGGCCTGACACCAAACAATGCAACTAGAGCGAATCTTGGCTCAAGTTAAAATCTCATTACCAGCACGGAATATTCGTTGTGTCACCTCCCCGTATAGCGAGTTGGCGTACGAGGAGGACACGTCGGTGAGGGGACCGCAAGTGGCGTGACGGCAATCTCAAGGCCGTGCGGAACACTCCATTCATCAGCCTTCCCAGGCAACCTCGAAGCGAATATTCAAGCGGAACTCCACTCCTCACACGCACCCCAGCCTCGCTTGCCGTGCTCACGCACTGCTGTGCAGCTGCAGCAGAAGTAAGGCATCGCGTGCTGCTCTAGCGTTAGCTGCAAGACGCCGTTCCCGACAGGCCGCGATTGCTACGAAACGCTCAGATGATTCAAGAGTAGACCGCGACTCGCAGGCTTTTCTTTCCTTTCCATTTTTATTACCATATTATTCGACAGCGCGTGACTATGGCGGATTACCACACGGTGTACAAGGAACCCGAGGGCACGACGACGGAGTGGGAGGACCTTCAGGTAGGACAGCCGCTTACTGCCGCTGACCATGAACGCAGTGGGAGGGAGCGGTCGCTCTCTCCGTGTTCCTGATTCCTTAGTGGGTAACAGGTGGCTGCTGAGGTATCACATCCAGTGGACGGACACCGGAGAGAGTGTGGCGAAACAAATCTAAAGTATGTAGGATGAATCGTGAAGAAACCTGGAATTCAGATTCAATACACAATGATTTTTGGGGCCCTGGGTTTTGACTTCTTTAGGCATGATAAGAAGCGCAAATCGACTTTTGAGACTGTCCTGAGGCGCGTCAAAACCTCCCAAGAAATCGTCTCCTTTTTGTTTCTCGGAGACAAAAAACCATGATACAAAACGAGAACCGGTAGCGATCCCTCATCAATGGCGGCGTTTTTTCCAGTCGGTACCACACCATGCATGAGGACACGCAGGGGGAACCACGACGCTGTGGGAGGACCTTCAGGTACTGCCGCTCTGTGTTTTAGAGTCACGTAAAGTGACTCATTAGGAGTTTAAAACAATAAAAACGTGACGGTTGCCTGGATACCCTGTCATTTGATATTATCAGGGCAGGGGCGAACGAGCCACGCCGTGTCATTCCGCTGGTTTACGGAATGGGATCTGGTTTGTTTCGAATCCGGTTTTGGAACAAGCAGAAATCGAAAGAAAGGAACGATATCGCGATTAGGAAATCTAGAAGTTCCAGACATTGTCCTAGTTGCCGTTTCTGATTCTTAACACTGGCTACGGTTGGTTGGGCTTGCTCGTTGGTTTGCACTCAGAACCCTTCTCCTGCTTGCCTAGGGACCTTGAGTACGACAAAGACCATATTTCCTCCTGGGATTACTGAAAAGCCCAAGAACCTTTCATTCTCCCTCCTCTTTGTTGAAATTTCGTCTCCACTTCTGCTGCTGCCTTCGGATCACCCGGAAACACGTTTCTTTCACCACATTCCTTAATTTCCCGAGCAGGCGAAATACGGCAACCTCGCTCCGCAGGAGAAGCCCAAGACAGCAGCTTGGGAGGCGGCAGAAGCGAGAAAGCGCACGGACGGGCTGGATACGCGTACGGCTGATGAGCTGCCTTTTGAGGCGCCTCAAAGGTCATTCTCCCACCCTTGCTGCTTGTTTCCCCCGTGGCAGGTGAAGTTTGGCAACCTTGCACTGCTTGAGAAGCCCAAATCGGCAGCATGGGAGCCGGCATCATTCTCCCACCACCACGCGTTCTTCAACCCTTGCTGCTTTGATGCCCGTCAAAACACGTCTCTCTTACCTCCTTTCATAATTCTATGTGCAGGTGAAAATCATGAATTTTTATCCGCGTGAGAAGCTCAAGGCAGCAGTATCGGAGGCGACGTCATTCACTCACACTCACCACCACCGCCTGTTCTCCAACCCTTGCTGCTTGTCCCCTCCCCTGGCAGGTGAAATACGGCAACCTTGCTCTGTGGGAGAAGCCCAAGACAACGACATGGGAACCGGGATCATTCACTCACCCTTGCTACTCGCTCCGTTCTCCAACCCTTGCTGCTTGTCTCCTCCCCTGGCAGGTGAAATACGGCAACCTTGCTCCGCGTGAGAAGCCCAAGACAGCAGCATGGGAGCCGGCAGAAGAGAGGAAGCGTACAGACGAACTGGACACGCGTACAGCTGATGAGCTGGACGACCTGGAGGATGACGTGGATGATGACCGGTTCATGGAGGAGTACAGGTGGGATGGACACGTGGCATGGGGCAAGGAGTGCATGTAGGAAGGATGACCATGTGGGATGGACCAGTGGGTTGGACATGTAGTTGGGGCAAAGGGTGGGAATGAAGTGAGAATGAAGGGGAAACTTGGCAAGGGGTTGGGGAATGCAGGTGAGACGAACGTGAGGGCATGTGAGGAAGCGGGATGTGCATTGGGATGGGGATGGGCTTAAGGTTGGGAATGAGGATGTGCATGCGGATAGGAATGGGTTGGGGATGTGGGAGGCACCAGCATAGCCAGCCACATATTCAAGGTGTGTGATCAGCTGAACCCCAGCCTCCTTCCGGCCCTCTGTAGCCGACTCCTGCCATATCCTCGCCATTTCCCCATTCCCCCCCCCCTATCCTCCCCCCTCACTTCCCTCGGCTGCCCACTCAGCCCCCCCTTAGCAGTGCATTACAGCGCTGGGGGGGGCAGTGCCACTCAATCCGCGCTCTGGAAGTGGCCGATGCAGATCCCAGGAGCCATCCTGAAGTGAAGTGCCTTAAAAGCCGATGCAGACCCCAGCGGCGATCTTAAAGCGAAGTGCTTTAATTAAAAGCCGATGCAGGCCCCAGGGGCGATCCTGAGGTGCCTTAAAAGCCGATACAGACCCCACAGTCGATTTTTAGGCGCCTCAAAAGCCAATGCAGACTCCAGGAACGGTTTTCGGCACGCTTTGCTGCTCTCGTCTTGTATTTACCTTCCATGCTCCCCCCCGCCCTCGCCATCCATCTTCGCCTGCTGTTTCACACCCCCCAGGAAGTGGCAGTTGGCCGCGCTGAGAGCAGCGGCAGCACGCCAGCTGTACGGTACGGAGTGTTGGAGCAACTTTTGAGGCGCCTCAAAAGTCGGCGCTGAGAGCAGTGGCAGCACGTCAGCGGTACGGAGGGTTGGAGCACAGGCGTCGCCCCTCCCCCCCTCATTTCCCCCTCTTCGCTCTATATTTCCTGCTTATCCCCACCAGGAGGCGGAGGGTGGCAGAGCTGAGGGCGGCGGCGGCGCGGCCGCGGTACGGAGGGGTGGAGAGGATTACGGGGCCGGACTTCGTGAGGGAGGTGACGGAGGCGAGCCAGAGCGTGTGGGTGGTGGTGCACCTCTTCCGTGACAGGTGGGCTGTTGCTTCATAAAGGCTTGTGAGCCACGTGGTTGTTGCTTTCACACGTTCCTGAAATTGATTTGAGCCACGTGGGCTGTTGGTGAACCAGGTGTGAGTTGTTGGTTTGAGACGTCTCAGAGAAGGTTTTCTTTTGCCATGCAAGGCAGGTGAGCAGCACTTTCAAGACAGTGTGGGCTCGCTGAGTGAGATATGCTCTCAGGGGTTTACCAAAAGGGATTGGGTCCAGTGTGTTGGTTGGTGGCAGTGCAGTGCACCTTCCTCGAAACACAGCTCTCTTGCTGCTTGCGGCATGTCTCTTGAATTGAACTGCACCAGAGCAAAGACTTTTGAGGGGGCTCACAACTTGAACTGCACCAGAGCAAAGACTGCCATGGTAACTGCCGTTTTCCTAGCTCATCAAACCACATCCCTCCAGGCATAGTTTGTGTTTATTGTGAGCACAGAGTGTATCCTCAACTACTCTCCCTCCCCGCCCGCCCGCCCGCCCCCCATCCCATCCCATCGCATCCCATCCCATCCAATCCCCTCCCCAGTGTGGCAGCCTGCGGCATCACCAGCAACTGCCTCTCAGAGCTCGCCCAGTGCCACTTGCACACCAATCTAGTGTGCTATTGAGCACACAACTTATCCCCAGTGCCACTCGTTATTCTTGCACCCAAAATAAGAGTGTTTTTGAGACGTCTAAAAAACACTCTTATTTCCAGTGCCACTCTTTATTCCTGCACCCAAGATAAGAGTGCTTTTGAGACGTCTAAAAAACACTCTTATTTCCAGTGCCACTCTTTATTCCTGCACCCAAAATAAGAGTGTTTTTGAGACGTCTAAAAAACACTCTTATTTCCAGTGCCACTCTTTATTCCTGCACCCAAAATAAGAGTGTTTTTGAGACGTCTTAAAAACACTCTTATTTCAGTGCCACTTGCACACCATTCGAGTGTGCTAGTGAGCACACAACTTATCCACAGTGCCACTCTTTATCCCTGCACCCTCTCTACCATCCCATCCTCTCCCCAGTGTGGCAGCCTGCAGCATCATCAGCAACTGCCACTCAGAGCTTGCTCGCTCGCACCCGCAGACCAAGTTTGTGCACATAGTGAGAACCGAGTGCATCCCCAACCCATCCACTCCTGTTTCTTCTACCCTCTCTCCCATCTTATCCCATCCCATTTCATCCCCTCCCAGTGTGGCAGCTTGCAGCATCATCAGCAACTGTCTCTCAGAGCTCGCTCGCTCGCACCCGCAGACCAAGTTTGTGCGCATAGTGAGCACTGAGTGCATCCCCAACTACCCCGATGCGCACCTGCCCACGCTGCTCGTGTACCACAAGGGGGCCCTCAAGGCCACCCTGGCTGGCATGCACCAGTTCGGAGGAAAGAACTGCACTACACAAGGTGAGTGAGACGTATTGCAACATTCTTTTGTGGTTATGTGAGGTAGCTCGCTACTTTACAATGTGATCCCTTTTTTGTGCTGTTTTTCACTAATTGTGTTTTTTTGTGCTGGTTGCAGATGTGGCGTTTGCGTTGTGCAAGGTTGGGCCTGTTTTAGCAAGCGAGGACGAGGATGAGGAAGCAGTGATGGAGCGGGTACAAAAGGATTATGTAAAAAACATTGTGAAGAGGCATGTGGAGAAGGGAGATGATGAAGATGATGATTAGACATGGGTTTTGCAACTTTCCTGTGTGTTGTATTACTGCCTTTCAAATGCCTGCAACGAAGCTTCTAGGGTAAGTGCATTTTTTGTCCAAATGATTGAAATTACAGGATTTGTGAGGAGCCCATATGAGTACGTGTTTCGCCTGCTCTTGTTGGTGTTTGTCTATAACGAATCCATCTTTGTCACCAGCATGTCATTATCGACCAATCAAACGGATCAAAGTGGCATCAGCGAACCACTGAAGAATGTACGGTTCTGTGATTACGGTTGAGAACGGTTCAGAGCATTTTCCTAGGGTTAGCGGGCTGCAGAATTCTGTACATCCACCAATCCTTTCACCCGCTTCGTCAAGGCCGCCATTGCTGTGACCAGCATACTTGACTGGAGCCTGTTAGCTGTTGCACACACGCACATCACCCTACTACTAAGAGCAGCAACTACTCTGACCATTACGGTCGGTTCTGAAGCTTGGAGAGGTCGTCCCCTGTCTGGTTTTTGCTCTCGTACAAGCGACGTATTTCGTAATATATATTGGTCGTTCCTTCGTTAGTCAAGGGTGTGTCTCATCAGGGTCGTCAGGATTGTCCCAGTGCAACCAGATTGTTCCAGCTCGCAGAATCTGACAAACTAGCTTTTACTCCGCATGTCAGAAAATTTGGCCGTCTGCGTCCTCTGGTGGACTGTGGTAGTCTAGGGAACATCCCGAGCTTCTTTTTACTGTACCAGGAAATCGTTTGTGATTAGACCTCGACCATTTCGCTACTTCTCGCAGCTTTCGTTCGAGTTTTCGCAATCCGCTCTCCGCCGCTAGCTGCCTGAGCATGTCGGACCCCACAAGAGCCCCAACAGGTGCGCGAATGGGTACGGCCTGGTACAGCGTAGTACAGCCTGGTACAGCGTGGTACAGTGTGGTACAGTGTGGTACAGGAATTACACGTTTTGAACATGATACGGGCTGTACTCCTAGCCGTAGGTGTGACTGCCCTACAGCTATGTATGAACGGTATGTATGAATGGTATGTATGAACGGGATACAAACAAGCAGCCGTGGTACGGACGGACACGGAAAATGGTCGTCAATGTTCGATTTTTTCTTGTTTTTTTATGAATCTCTCTCTTATTCTTTCCCTTCTCCTCCGCTTTTCCTAATTGGCCTTTCTCTCCCTCGTACTCTCCCCCTTGCCGTCACTGCCTGATCTCCAATCGTTCTCTTGCCATCTCCATCCCTCCCGTTCTCCCCCCACACCATTTTTCTGTCCCCACACTGGCAGCGATTCTTGCTGAGTTCGCGGCACACGAAGAAGGTGAGGTGGCGGTCACAGTGTGCAAGTGAAGGTATTGTGAGTGTGTCTCTCAAAGCCATTGGTGCCGCGTATGTTTTTTGAGAATTCTAAAAAAAAACATATGTATTAAAAGAATTCTCAAAAAAACATGAGATGGCGGTCACAGTGTGCAAGTCAAGGTATTGTGAGTGTGTCTCTTAATGCCATTGCTGCCGCATCGCTGCGTTCGCATTGACCTCCTTGCCATGCATGCGAGGATGCCAGCTCAGCTGCCCCTGCACGGCACGGTGCAGTGATGCGGCACGGTGCAGTGATGCGGCACGGTGCAGCGATGCGGCACGGTGCAGCGATGCGGCACGGTGCAGCGATGCGGCACGGTGCAGCGATGCGGCACGGTGTCTATGCTCCGTATCTCATATCATGTACCGTGCTTGAGTATTCTCAGGGATAGATTTTGAGATACAAGCTTTGCCATCCCATTCCACATTTCTCCATTTCCCCATGCCCCCATCCGCCCATGCCCCAGCCATCCAGCAGCAGGACCGACCACGCATACCTGCACCAGGCAGTGGCACAGGGGAACGACCGTACTCAGGCATGAAGGTGCACTGACTGTCCCCCTATCGCCTCAATTCCTCATGCCATGCCCTCCCATGGCCCCCCAGCCATCCAGCAGCAGGATTCCACATGCTTCAAAGTTGAACCAGGCCGTGGAGCAAGCGTATGGGGGCGTGCGTGAAGGTGCACCGAACCTCCCCTGCCTTCCTGCTCCCGCATTCCCATCCCCCCATCCCTCCCTGCTCCCAGCCACCCGGCAGCAGGACCACGCATACCTGAACCAGGCAGTGGCACAGGCGTATGAGAGCATGAAGGAAGGTGCACTGACCAACCCCCATCGCCCCGTCTCATTCCCCCATACCCACAACCCCCCTTCCACCAGCCATACAGCAGCAGGACCATGCATATTTGAACCAGGCGGTGGCACAGGCGTATGAGGGTGTGAAGGTGCGCCAACTCTCCCCTATCTTGCTATTCCCGCATCCCCCCATCGTCCCTCCCCCCACCTCCCAGCCATCCAGCAGCAGGACCACGCATACTTGAACCAGGCGGTGGCGCAGGCGTACGAGGGCGTGAAGGTGGGCGACGGGGGGCCATTTGGGGCCGTGGTGGTGCGCGAGGGAGAGGTGGTGGCGGCGTGTCACAACATGGTGCTAAAAAACACAGACCCCACTGCCCATGCTGAAGTCACGGCAGTGAGAGAGGTATGGCATACCATGGTACGGCTCTCGCTGTGTGTCTTTGTGCATGTGTGCACCGCATGCTGGTGGCTTGAGAGGGAGAGGTGGTGGCAGCATGTCACAACATGGTGCTGCGGACCAAGGACCCCTGAGAAGTATGGCATACCATGGAAGGGCTCTCGCTGTGTGTCCATGTGCTCTCTCCGTGCCCCTAAGTGCATGGGAGATACAGCACACTGTGGTGGTGTGCGAGGGGGAGGTGGTGGCGGCGTGTCACAACATGGTGCTGCGGACCACGGACCCACGGCACATGCTGAAGTCACTGCTGTGAGAGAGGTAGGGTTTCTTCTGTTGGTGTGGGCATCAGTATGGTCTGGTATGGTGTGGTGTGGTCTGGTGTGGTTTGGCACCGGGAGAGGTGGTGGCGGCATGTCACAACATGGTGCTCAGGACCACGGACCCACGGCACATGCTGAAGTCACAGCGATCAGAGAGGTATGCTTCTGCTGGTGTGTTTTTGGCATGCGTTGGTCTGGTATGCTTTGGTGCGGTGCGGTACGTAAGGTAGGCCTGCGAGCTGAGGATCTCTCGGCGATGAGCAGCTGCAACTTGTTGAATTGTGAGACACATACCAAGGCCTTAAGATTTGCTCCACCCTTTCGCGCGCTCCCTTCCTCTTCGCTTTCCCCAGGCGTGCAGGAAGCTGGGTCGTTACGACCTGTCAGACTGCGAGCTGTATGCGTCGTGTGAGCCGTGTCCTATGTGCTTCGGCGCCATCCACCTCTCCAAGATCAAGGTACGCCCGTCCGCACTCTCACCACCTTCCTGTCCTTCGTTTCAAGTCGACTAGAGAGTCGCCTTTTCAGCCTTGATTGGACTCAAAATCTGTTCTTACTCGGTAATTTTCTAGGCAACTCAAAAATTATGAGGGTCCGTCTGTCTGACCTGCCATTCCCCAACCTCATTCTCTTCTAAGCGCCTGAAACAACTCTCGCCCTCTAGGATACCAGCCCACCCACAACGGTGACGACGACTCACAGGATGCATACGCGACCATTGTATGCGCCATTCCACTTTGAAATATGACATTATCCCCAGCCCAGCATCCCACCTTTCCCAGCATCCCCAGCATCGCCACCTTCCCCAGCATCCCCAGCATCGCCACCTTCGCCAGCATCGCCAGATTCCCCAGCATCCCCGGTATCGCCAGCATCCCCGGTATCGCCAGCACCCCCGGTATCGCCAGCACCCCCGGCATCGCCAGCACCCCCGGTATCGCCAGCACCCCCGGTATCGCCAGCACCCCCGGTATCGCCAGCACCCCCGGTATCGCCAGCACCCCCGGTATCGCCAGCACCCCCGGTATCGCCAGCACCCCCGGTATCGCCAGCACCCCCGGTATCGCCAGCACCCCCGGTATCGCCAGCATCCCCGGTATCGCCAGCATCCCCGGTATCGCCAGCATCCCGCACTCCCCTCCTCGCCCACGTCCTCCAGACAGTGTCTGGCAACAGTAACAGGCCATTTTACTAGGAACCCACACACGTTCCCTACACCCCCTCCAGAATCCCACATCCTCCCTCCCTCCCCCCAACAATAACTCACCAGCGCCCAGTCTATGGAGCGCAAGCAGAAGCAGCGCTGGCCATTGGATTTGACGACTTTATTGCGGATGCCATCCGTGGCACGGCCTACTACCTACCAGATGTTCACACCCCCTCACCTTCTCATCTTCTCCTCCCCACCATCCCTACTCCCCCTTCCCCTTTCGCAACCCACCAGCGGCTGGTGTATGGGGCGCAGGCAGAAGCAGCCCTGACGATCAGTTTCGACGACTTTATTGCGGATGCCATCCGTGGCACGGCCTACCACCAGAGGTTCACACCCCCTCTCACCTTCTCATCTTACTCCTTTCCACCATCCCCACTCCCGCTTCCCCTTTCGCAACCCACCAGCGGCTGGTGTATGGGGCGCAGGCAGAAGCAGCGCTGGCGATCGGGTTTGATGATTTCATTGCGGACGCCATCCGAGGCACGGCCTACTACCAGAAGGCGAGTCTGCAGATCCACAAGGCAGAGGGACACGTGGCCGCTGCTGCGGAGGAGGTGTTTGAAAACACCAAGTCCAAGTTCCAAATGTACTGACTGACTGACGGGGGGGCAGTTTCCTTTTGTTTATGAAGTGGCGGTTGCTGCTGGGGAGGTCCTTGACAAGTTTAGAGTTTGAGAATGTGGATTTCTGATAAACGCTGCAAAGTATATGATAAAACAGCCATGAATGAGAACCAGCATAATCCTGCTCCATTTTGTATTTTTCCTTAAATGTATATTGTAGTGTTTAAGGCGTGTCTATGTAAATTAGGGTGCAACACGTGTTCCAACTCTCATCCCTTCACAATAACGAGCCAGGTTAGGGTTTCAATAGCGCGGCTCCTTTCACTCCTCCAAACCCTCCTTGCCCCTCCCCCATCCCCCTTCCCTCTCCAAAACCTCCTTCCACCTTCATTCGCTCCTTCCTTTCGTGCCTTCTTTCCCTGCAAGCGCGAACCACCCACAGCGCAGTGCAGCCGTGACAGGGAGACTTAGGCAGGCACCTCTCACCCCTCTATTCTTCTCCGAAACGCTTCTTCTCGACTTACTATTCTTACCTTCCGCCCGTCCGTATCAACGAAAGTTGGTCGATTCGCACTCCGACGCAATGGCGTTAGCTCCGGCGCTTTTAAAGCCAGTGATGGACTTCAGGTTTCTGGACGAGGGCACAGGCGGGGATAAGAAGCGCAAACGACAAAAAGATGAGCGTGAGGCGAAAGCCGCGGAAGCGGAAGCCGCCGCTGCGGATCAACCTGGCGACATGGCAATTGACGGCGACGGCGCTGACGGCCAGCCGTCAGCTAAACGGCAAGCCGTTCCGATGGCTGACGACGAGAACCGGCCGTCGTTCGGCCGACCGTCGTACGACGGCGTGATCGCAGGAAAGGCTTCGGGTCGCAAATGGAAAACCGTGCGAACGACTCGGTCATCCGCGTTAAGAGTCACCGGCCGGAAGGAGGTTTCGTTAGAAGAGAAGCGAAGGCAGAGAGAGCTCAAGAAGGCGTATAGGGAGAGGAAGGAGGAGTTGAAGGAGGAGATTAGGAGCAACAAGCAGGCGAAGCGAGCCGCCGCGCAGGAGAAGCAGCGGCGGAAGGAGGAGAATGCGCTGAAGGGCGCCGTGCTGCAACGAATCACGAACCCGAAGACGATTAAGAAAATGTCGAAGAAGCAACGACAGAGCCTCGTGAAAGTCTAAGGTGAGCCGCGGCGGAGGGGAGTTGAAGGGCTGTGATGCTGATGTGCCGTGCGAACGACAGAGCGTTGCAAAAGTGTAAGGCGTGTTGGCTTCTTGTGAGTTCAACTCCTGATTGCTGGCTACACGAATGTGAGGACCCAGGGGTCGTCACTCATGGGGAAGAGCAGAGAAGTGGAAAAGAAATGTGTTCTCAACACCTGATTGATTGTTAGCTCTGGCGTTGAAGGCGCAAAGCCGAAGTCTCGTGAAAGCCGGTAGGTCATGCGGGGTGTAGCAGCACGGGTTCAAGGGGTGATGTTGAAGCGACGACAAAAGGCCTCGGACAACTCACGGTATGTGATGGTTGTTGTCCAGATGTGTCTGCCAAGGTACGACATTGCTGTAACGGTGCGCCATGGCTGTAACGGTGCGCCATGGCTATAACGATATGTCGTGGCTGTGACGGTGCGCCATGGCTGTAACGGTGCGCCATGGCTATAACAGTGCGTCATTGCTGTAACGGTGCGCCATGGCTGTAACGGTATGTCATGGCTGTAACGGTGCGCCATGGCTATAACGGTATGTCGTGGCTGTGACGGTGCATCATGGTTGTGAATGTGTGTCGTGGTTGTCAAGGCATGGTAGCCTCGTGTGTAAATGCAATGCACAGACTGTAAACGTGTTGACGCCCAAACTTGGCAGGCAAAGAGTTCTGTTGCATAGCCAATATTAAAAGGGGGGAAGGGGGACAAGCACTTGAAAGGAAGTACAGTCATGGACAACAAATTCAGCACTTGGATTGTTGTGACGGTTCATGTTTTGTTGCAAATCATTTTCCAGAATCTTTAACGTTTCCATCCATCATGTGTTGCGTCCTTTGATAGCTTTGAGAAAAGGTTCCCTCAATCCTCCGTATTTGCCTCACCCTTCTTGTCCGCGCTTCTTCAAACTGCTGCTTATGTGCGACCCTCATTCGACCATCATCCAACCTGCATTCAAAGCCAAGGGCTGAACCAAACGCAGTCAGACCCTCATTCTCTCCTCCCTTTCCGTTTCCCCCCCGATGCCATCCCGTCGCTGTTTCCACAGGAAGAGGATTGCCAGTGCCGCATGAGGCAACGATCTGTCTGAGACTGAGGAGGGGAGGGGAGGCGAGCAGGGTTAAGGGAAGTGGAGAAGAGTGAGAAGAGGCGAGAGGGTGTACAGACGAGGTGGTGTGAGGGGGTACGTGTGTGTTCTGCTGCTGGCTGCTGCTGATTGGTGCTGTTGCGTGGGACAGTAGGGTGATGCAGAAGATGCTGCTGAGGCATGAGCATTCGCCTGATGCATTGGTGGTGTAGACGCACACAATCACACAGACTGCATAAGCTTCGTGGCACGGTTTTCTTCGGAATGTTGAGCCTTCTCCATTATGTACTTCTGAAGTGGCCTTGCTGCTTAATATTGTACGGTACCATACTCTTTGTCTCAAGCAAAATTTTATTTACTCTAAATTCTTCCTCTTCAATGCATGCTCTTCATACAGTCCATGTGGCGTTTGAGACATCAACAATATACCGTACCTTGGCATTATTACGGTACCATACTACTCTCCACACAGCGCCACCACTTCCAACCAATGCTGCTCCCAAGGAATGCTAACGAAGCCTCAACCCATACATCTTCTCAAGCCCCTTCATGGTTTCGTCATCAGGCAACCTTCTGCTACCTCCAACGGACAACCACCGCAGCGCCTTGAGCTGTGTTATCCCCTCTGGTAGAGCCTCCAGCTGCTCGCAATTATCCAAGTCCAGAATCCTGAGCCGGGTCAACCTTTCGAAATTGGGAGGGAGGGAGCGGATGGAGCAGCCAGTCAGGTGCAGGCTGTTGAGGCAGGCGAGCTGGGTGAGGGAAGCAGGGAGATGCACGAGGGCTGTGCACTCAGACAGATCCAGTGTGCGTAATCTGGACAGAGAGCCGATGCCATCAGGGAGGGAGGCGAGTTTTGGCGCATGGACCTCAAGTGATGTGAGGTGCTGAAGCATTGCGATGCTTCCAAGCAGCTTATCCAACTCTGCAGCCTCGTGAACGTGCAGCTGCCGCAGCTGCTGCAATGTCGAGCCCAGATCCTCCGGAAGGATTTTCAGCCCTGCAGCTTTCCAGATTGTCAAGGTACGAAGGTGAGAAAGAGATGCCAAGAAGAAAGGAATCTCCTGCACATCACCTGCCAAAACCAGCTCCAATCGCGTCAGACATGAAAAATCTCGGCTCCGCACCATATCATAAGTGACATCACCGGTTCCCCAAGGCAGCCCCCTCAGCTCTGACAACATAGAGAATGGCGACAACGGGGTGGTGTGCTGCTGGTTGATCGGGAAGGACAAACGCTCAAGAGAATGCGGCAGATTTGTCGGAAGTCTCTGCAGCAGCGCACATCCTCTAATCTCCAGCCTCTTGAGCCTGACAAGACCCTCCAGATTCATGGGCATCCGAGTAAGCCGAGTACACTTCACAACCCTCAACATCTTCAGGCGCCTGAGGCTTGTAATTGACTCAGGAAGCTCCTGCATAGCGGCACATGAGTGGATGTAGAGCTCGTTGAGCTTTGTCAGCCGACTGATGCCTTCAGGAATCTCAGTTAGTGCGCACTGATCGAGCTCAAGCCGTGTTAGAGACGAAAGCTGAGTGAATGAAGATGGCAGCTGCTGCTGTGCTTTCTGAGAAATCAGGAAAACGGATTGTAGGCTGGTGAGCTCCCCAATATCCTCCGGAACTGAGACATTTGTCACCGATTGAAGGCATAGCAGTTTGAGTGAGGGAAGGGACGAGAATCCTGCAGGCAGCTGGTAGAGGTTATTACAATTGACCAGGCAGAAGGTCTCTAGGGATAAAAGTCCGCTGAAGGAGTCCGGTAGATATGAGAGTGGGAGCGAATCCAGCACCAATGTCTTTAAGGCAACCAACTCCCCGAAGTTTTCCGGCAGAAATTCGAGTTTGGACGAACAAATCTTCAAATTCTGCAAGCTGCTGATGGACATGAACGCGTCAGACAAATCGGTCAAATCCCAGCAATCAGTGAGGCTGCATTCTTCAAGACATGGAAACATGTCCCCAATGTCATCAGGGAAACGCGGAAAGTCGCGGGAATCTACTAGCACGAGACGCTTCAGAGAGCTGCACGCGGATCCTGAAGGGAACGCTAAGTTGAATTTGGGGGAATTAAAGTCGAATTCCAGAGATTGAAGCGATGGAAGTTGTGCGAAAGAAAAGAGTCTAACATGAGTCTCCCACATGAAGGATAGGCTGGTAAGGCTAGGGAGGTGAGCGAGAGGTATCAAATCCTCTTCATCTAAGTCTCCCGTCTCGATGACAAGAGTAGATAATGAAGAAAGATTCTGGAGTCTTGAATCCTCCAAAATCGAAACGTCGGTCAGGAACATCAAGCGCAGGTTCGAGAGATGAAAGAACGAAGGTGGTAACTTGTCGCATTCGTGGAAGCAGTGGAGTGTCAGCTGCTCCAGGCGAGAGCAGCGACGAAGAAAACTGTCGACACCAGCTCTGGTCACCGGATGAAACTTCTTATCCTCTGCATCTTCGCAATAGTCTGGCGCGTTCTCTTTTGCCACGTGGAGATCTTTCAGCTTAGGACACGACGATGCGAGATGATCGAGGAAAGCGTCGTCAATATTTTCCACGCTGTTAGCAGAGAGGTGCAGATGCGTTAGATTCGGGAAGCAGGCGACGGAGTTGGAGAGATCCTGGAGCGAAACGACGCGGTATTCTCCGACGAACAGCGTCGAAACGTTAAGCCGAGCGAGAGTGCGCCATCGACGGCAAACAGCTGCGATACTAAGGCTGTGAGCAGCGTCCGCTGAAGCAGGAAAATTCGGTGATGGAATTTCAATGTCTTCATGAAACGGCACGTCAGGTTCAACAAGGATCTGTTTAGCTCGCCCAGCCCTAGATCGGTCCCACGGAAGCTCACAGTCGGATAGTCGACAACTACCGCGGTTAGAGTGCCAGAAAATCCTAACTAGGAGATCGTCAGGCAGATTGTTCAGATACGTAGAAAACGCCATTTCTAAGGTCAAAAGGGATGTCAGCAAGTGGCAGCACTAGGCTAGGATTTCGTGATAAGCGCAATCGGTAAATTCAGTGAGAGGCAATCTAGTCCCCACGTACAGGTATGGCGGTTCCTGGTGACAATGGTCTGATCAATTACAGAGTTCAAACTAATATGTTGCTCTCAGCTGCATGGATGGTCTGCTTCTTTTCCCCCTCTCACGCTCTGCTGCAGCACCAGGATCTGGAGTCCGGACCTGAGGGCTTGAACCAGCGTGGTGTTCGTCACACGCAGTTCAATTGGGCTCGCGCCTGTACCGCGAGGAACCAAGTGCTTTCCTTGACAAATCGCTATCTAACTCACCAAACCGTCACTTCCTCAACAATGTACAACGTCCTGACTAGGTCCTCTGATCCAATTCGCATCCTCGACGAGAATCCTGCGATGTGGAGGATGGTTTGGCATTAGCGAAGATCTCGCCAGCTGGTTACATTCGAGCCCTCCGAGGCGCCTTGCGGTCAGGGTGAGGTTCACTTGGAGCAAGTGTAAAATGAGCATGTCCTGTGAATAATTGGACTCTACTTCCTCTGCAAGACAATAACATGTCTCATGAATGTGTATTTGACTTGGGTCGTCTACCAAAACCAACAATAAGAAATAGCTGAATGAGAACTCCTGCTTATTAAACACCCAATACACTGTTCTTCCAATATTTCTATACATTATTTAAGAGCAGCCAAGATCCAGCCTATCCCTAGGCATCCCAGCACATTTTACCACGGTACCTTACATTAGAACACAATATTCATTATCATCCCTGTTTCAGCTCCACTCCACCACCACTGCCTGTCATCCAACAACCTCAGTACCCCTCTCTCTCCCTCCCCCCTCCCAGCTTTCCCTCTCTCCCCCTTTCGCCCCAATACCACCTAATCCACAACTCCCACCCCCCATTCCTCCACGACTCAACCCAAGCCATCAGAACATAATCAAAGCGTCCTCAAATCTTTTCAGCTGCCCCACTATGTGTGCTCCCACATCAGCACCACCCGCACCACCAGCAGCATCCACCACTCCCTTCCCCCTCCTCCCTCCTTGCACCCAAACACACATTCAGCTCACCCAACTCCCTCTCCTCCTCACATGACCTACCCTGTCCCTGCATCCAGCATCAAAACACAATCAAATCGTCCTCTTCTTTCTTGCCCGCCCCACTCTGTGTACTCCCACCCCACCACCACGCGCACCACCAGCACCACCACCTGTCCCCCCTCCTCCCTCCTTACGCCCAAACACCCTTTCCTCCAGCTCAGTCAACCCTCGCTCCTCCTCACATGCTCTAGACTTAAAACACAATCAAATCGTCCTCTTCTTTCTTGCCCGCCCCACTCTGCGTGCTCTCCCCTGCAGCTCCAGCACCACCAGCACCCCCTGTCCCTGCTCCCTCCTTCCTTCCAAACACCATTTCATCGAGCTCAGCCAATTCCCTCTCCTCCTCACTCATCCCTGCTCTCCTATCCCCCCCTCCCCGGTTCCTCACCAGCCCTCCAGCCCCACCCTCCTCCTCCTCATCCATCGTCAGGAAGGCAGCAGCTGGGGGAGGTACAACTGGCGGCACAGCCGTCGCAGCCGCACCTGCTGGTTGCTCTGCTGCCGCCGCTGCTGCTGCATCTCCTACCCCAGCCCCTGCTCCTGCTCCCGCTCCTCCAGCAGCAGCGGAGGCCTGTTTGCGGAGCTCAGCTAGCTTCTCCAGTACTTTGTCGATGTCGTCGTTTAGGCTGAGCGCCTCGAACAGGAGCGTCTCGCTGGGTGCCTCTGAGTTGCTGTTCTCGTGCTCGATCAACCGCAGCAGGCTGCTCTTGGCCGCCCGGCACTGCGCTGCCAGTGCAGGAACCACCTCGTCCTGCTAAGATAGGGTTTGGGCAGTGAGACAGAAAGTTCAGGTTGGCTTTTGAGTCGACTAAAAAACCACCTCATCCTGGTAAGATGGGGTTCGGGCAATGAGACAGAAAGTTCAGGGTGGCAATGGAAAAGTGGGCAAAGGAGAGGAAAGGAAGAAAAAAGGGAGAACGCAGAGGGAGGCAAGTGAAGGATGGCAAGTGACACATGGGTGGTGATACCATGGATGTTGTGGCAGCGCCATGGGTGGGGTGGCACTCTTGTGTGTGAGGTGGTAACAACCACCCCCTTCTATGCCATCCCTACGCCCTGTTACATATCATGCCACCATGCACCCAACCATGCCACCATGCACCCAACCATGCCACCATGCACCCAATTATGCCACCATGCATCCAACCATGCCACCATGCATCCAACCATGCCACCATGCACCCAACCATGCCACCATGCATCCAACCATGCCACCATGCACCCAACCATGCCACCATGCACCCAACCATGCCACCATGCATCCAACCATGCCACCATGCATCCAACCATGCCACCATGCATCCAACCATGCCACCATGCATCCAACCATGCCACCATGCATCCAACCATGCCACCATGCATCCAACCATGCCACCATACACCCAACCATGCCACCATGCACCCAACCATGCCACCATGCATCCAACCATGCCACCATGCATCCAACCATGCCATCATGCATCCAACCATGCCACCATGCATCCAACCATGCCACCATGCATCCAACCATGCCACCATGCACCCAACCATGCCACCATGCACCCAACCATGCCACCATGCATCCAACCATGCCACTGAACGTTCGTTCCACAGGTGCTCCCCCTTCATGTCACCATTGTGCTGGAGGTGGTTTAACAACACTCACCATGGCGGCACAGACGACAGAACAGTTCCTCAACAGACAGAACAGTTCCTCAACAGACAGAACAGTTCCTCAACAGACAGAACAGTTCCTCAACAGCTCAACACCTTACCTAACCTCAACAGCTCTCCCACATCTCATCATTCACCTTCCTTCCCTCAAACGGTCCGTTGTATTAAATCAGCAGGGGTACAGACATGCACTTTGATTCATGATACCCTTAGTTCCTTTTGACCGTTTAACCCTCCCCTCTGTTCCCCCCCTCTCTGTTCCCTCTATCTCTACCATCCTTTGTAGACTGCACCTCATCCCTTCGTTCTGTCCCTCCCTCCGTCACTCGCTTTCCCATTTTCCCTCCTCATTCCCTCCTTTCCCCTCCCCCCTTTTCCCTTTCCCCGTTCTCTTGCCCTTTCCCTTCCCCATTTGCCCATTCTCTCCCTCCTTCCTTCCTTCCCTCCCTCCCTCCCTCCCTCCCTCCCTCCCTCCCTCCCTCCCTCCCTCCATCACCCACAGTCAGCATTAGTTCAGGAGGATCAGACGACAGTACAATCCCCAGCAGCTCGACGCTGTTCCTCAATTTCTAAAACAATCTCCTTGCTGTCAAACAACATCGTGTGCCTGCCCTCACCGTCCCTTTCCTCCCTCCCTTTCCCTTTTCCCTTCCCTCCCTTTCCTCCTCCCCCTCCCTCCCTTTCCCTTCCTCCTTTCCATTTCCCCTTTCTCACCCCCTTCATACCTCCCCCCATCACTCGCCGTCAACACTTGTTCGGGCGGAGAAGCAGACAGAACAGTCCCAGCACCTCAATGCTGTTCCTTGAGATCTCAAAGATCTCCTTGCCCGCCCTCCCTTTCCCTTCCCCTTCCCTTTCTTCCCTTTTTTTTCCCTTCCCCTTCCTTCCCACTCCCCCTTCCCCGTTCCCCCTTTCCCGTCCCCCCCTTTCCCGTCCCCCCTTTCCCTCCTTCCCTCATTCTCTTACAGTGAGCACTCGTTCGGGCGGGGCAGACGACAGCATGGTCCCCAGCAGCTCAACGCTGTTTCTCAAGATCTCAAACATCTCCTTGCTATCGAACACCACCATGTGCCCGCCCTGCCTCACTCCCTCCTTACCTTCCCCTCCCTCGCTCTGTGAGCACTTGTTCGGGCGGAGCAGAGAATAACACCGTCCCCAGCAGCTCAACACTGTTCCTGGAAATTTCAAAGATCTCCTTGCTGTCAAACACAACCATGTGCCCGCCCTCCCTCTCCCTTCCCTTTCCTTCCTTCCTTTTCCTTCTTCTCCTCCCCCCCTTTTCCTGTTTCCTCTTACACTCTCCCTTTTTCCCTTCCAAACTATACCCTTTTTCCCTCCTCCCTCACTCACCGTCAGCACTTACTCAGGAGGAGCAGACGACAGCACGGTACCCAGCAGCTCAACGCTGTTCCTCGAGATTTCAAAGATCTCCTTTCTGTCAAACACCACCATGTGCCCGACCTCCCTTTCCCTTCATTTTCTTCCCTTCATTTTCTTCCCTTCATTTTCTTCCCTACCTTTTCTTCCCTACCTTTCTTTCCTTCCCTTACCGTGAGAACTTGTTCAACAGGAGCAGATTAAAGAACAGTCCCCAGAAGTTCAACGCTGTTTCTTGAGATCTCAAAGATCTCCTTGCTGTCAAACACCACAATGTGCCCGCCCTCCCTTTCCCTTTTTCGTCGTCCCTTTCCTTCCCTTCTCCCCCACCCCCTTCTATTTCCCGTCCCCTCTTTCCATTTCCCCATTTCCCTTCAACTTTCCCTTTCACTTTCTCCCTTTCCTTTTCCATCTTTCCCTTTCCCTCCTTCCCTCACTCACAGTAAGCACTTGTTCAGGAGGAGCGGACGACAGCACAGTCCCCAGCAGCTCAACGCTATTCCTCGAGATCTCAAAGATCTCCTTGCTGTCAAACACCACCATGTGACCACCCTCGGGCCGCGGGACCATCGACACGCCAGGTGGCGCCACCTCATTGGCCATCTGCCCCTCCACCGACTCCAGCAGCGCGTGGGCGGCTTGCACGGCGGCGGGCGGCACGCTGGCGGGCGGCGTGAAGATGGGCGCGAGGGACTCGGCGTCGCGGGGGGGGAAGACAACCCCGCGCATCTTAAGGCTCTGAGAAATATAGAAGGTGAAGCGGGAGCGAGGGAGTGAGAGAAAGTAAAGGGGTTGAATGAGGGCGGCACACTGGCGGGCGGCGTGAAGATGGGTGCGAGGGACTCGGCGTCGCGAGGAGGAAACACCACTCCACGCATTTTGAGGCTCTGAGAGGTACAGGTGGTGCAGCGGGAGCGAGACAGTGAGGGAAGTTAAATATGTTAAATGAGGGATGCACACTGGCGGGCGGCGAGAAGATGGGTGCGAGGGACTCGGCGTCGCGGGGCGGAAAGACCACTCCGCGCATCTTGAGGCTCTGAGAGGTACACAAGGGGAAGCGGGGGCGAGAGAGAGGAATAAAAACAAGCATCTTCGAGCCTTGCACCACACACAATCAAATAAAAACACTCCTCCGCAAGATGTGCCTTTCCTTCCATAATCTCCACTTAATGCATGCCACGCTACCTCGCTACCTCGCAACCGCAGCTGCGCATCATTTGAAGTGCCTCAAGTCACCAAAAGTTAACAAAAGACGCCTCAAGTGTCGCCTCAGTTGCGCCGCGCTGAGGGCTCGCCCGACACGCGAGCCATAGATTTTGTCGGCCAAACCCCCTACGGCGCGCACGCCATGACGCTTGGATCGACTCAAACGTACGCCAAGTTCCCGTCGTTTGCACGTGTTTTGTTTCGAGGAGTGTCTCAACGAGAGGCTCCTTCGCGGATTAGGAGTTTCAAATCGCCACATGTTATTTGCTGACGATGACGCACCCACTAGGCGCGCATCGCATCTTGCCAAACGCCAGTTTGAGCAGAAGGTGATGCGAGATAAAGCGAGGTGAAGCGCGCTCTATTCACATCCACATCCGTAAATCACCTTGTACGTTTCTTCAAACACGGGCAGGTATCGCAGCTCCTCGGTTGCGTCCCCCCACGCTTCGATCATCTTCAGCACCATCTCCCGCAGCTGCGCCGCGCTGCTCGGTACTAAAGCCTGCCCCTCCTCCCCAATCTTCTTACCTTGTAGGTTTCTTCGAAGACAGGAAGATACCGTAACTCCTCCGTGGACTCGCCCCACGCCTCGATCATCTTGAGCACCTTCTCGCGCAGCTGCGCCGCGCTGTGCGGCTCGTCCGCGACGCGCACCATGTCGTCCAGCACGCGCTCGTTCGCCACGTCGGAGAAGAGCGACGAGCAGTTCTTAACGGCCATCTCCAGCAGCGCGAGCGCCAGCATCTGCACGTGCGAGTTTCGCGACCCGAGCTGCTTCTTAATCGCGCGCACCGTCTCACCTCCCGGGAGCTTTCCCGAGTTTACGAGGTCGCAGATTAGGAGATTTCGTCCCCAGTCAGGGGAGATTAAGATCTCGTCCGTCGCTTCTTCGACCAGGCGCTCCGCGAGCGTCGGGGTGTGGAAGATGTTTTTCATCTTGTCGCCGATTTCCGTCATTGATTCCGTCAATTTCCCGCCGACGGCGTTCATCGATTCCCCCATTTTCTTCCCCATCGTGGCGAGACGGGCCTTCCAGTCTTCGCCCGCGTGGCTGCTGGTGCCGCCCAGCAGTCCCTCATCTTGCGGATCGTCCGAACCGCGGAGAGTCACGTAACCTGCCATACTTGAGACAGTGGTCTCGCTATTTAACAAATTACAACTTGTACGACTGCTAGTAGCTACCACTGAAGTACTCGAGGCACGCCGTTTCTAGTTCTACGAAAGAAGCTAGTTGCCAACTTCGATTTCTTTTCGAAAATGAACCCAGTCTTCTAGATTTGAATGCTTCTCAGAATCCTGGTTATGGCAGCTTTCTTGGAGGTTTGGGGGGAATACCCCGAGGTGCCAGAGGTGGGTAGAAATGTCCGTCAAGTGGACGGAAAGCGGGACAGATGGAAAATGGAAACGTGGAAACCGGAATCTCGAGGAAGCAGTTTCCCCGGCCCCATCCATGCTTGCCAGTGGAGAAGTCGGTGACGGACAGAAACGGAACGAAGACGGAATTTGCCCATGGAGGTTACATCCCGTCAGCAATCGCACCGGCAAGGGAGATGCATCCAGGCCATTCCCCACGCAACCGACATTCCCAGTGTTGAACGTCAGCTGTTTCGGGTGCCCCATTGGAATGAAGATATTCCGCATTGTGCGTCTCGATGACGCGTAAAGGACGGAACTTCGCGGGTGTAGACAATTATTGTACTACACGTCGGATTGGATGACGGTGGACAAAGCAGGCAAAACCAATAAGAGACTTCACCAAAAGAGTCGTGGGCAGGCCTGTCGCTACAAAGGCATTTTTACTTTTTACCCTTGAATTCACGTGCTGGTTCGGGCCCAACTCAGTGAATTCAAGGGCTGACTCTGAGGCCAGCCCGTTTTCCTTACGGGCTGGTTTAGCGCCTAGCCCGGATTTCACGTATACGCTCAGAGCCCCACCTACCATCCTACCCCCTCGTTTCCCTTGATATGTCTCCCCTGCTTACGTAGAACCTCCATACTTTCGAATGCTTGTTAAAGCCCAAGACCTGAATTACAACAAAAAAAAGGCAAACTGTGCACACTTTGCCTCCCGAACCCAAAGTTGACCTCCCGAGCCAGGATGGTAACCAGAAAACGTCGCATCCCAAGAAGACTGAGTCGTAGAGCAGAACGCGTCCGCTTGGCGAGAGTTCCAACCACCCTTTCCTGAAGGAGGAAGGGAACTGCCTGTGCACAGTTTGCCGAACAATGGTAATTCAGGAATGCTTGTGCGGCTATTGTTGGGAACAATAAGTCTTAAAGCGCCTCTGTCGTGTCGAAACTCAGGACACAAGCGAAGCAGTCCAAATCGAAGCATCGCGAGTCAACCCTCGGAGGTTAGGGTAACCGCCTGGAGGTTACGCGAAGGTCAAAAGTCAGCGACCTTTGACTTGACAAAATACAGCGCGACAGCAAGGACACACAACTGACTCGACATTGAGCAGTTGCCCGAGTCGCACTGTATCGAATCGCAACAGCAAAACAGTTTAATCTATTCGTATTCCTTGTACTCTTATATAAAGCCTTGTATTTGCTTGTTTTAAAAAAAACTCACTTTGCCCTCACATACTAGCGCAAGGTGGTTCAAGGACTTTTCATTCAAACGCTTCCGCTATTACAATCCTACTCAGACTTTAACTCTACAAAGATCCTAGGGCATCTCAGCCCAACATGGTATGAGAGCAGACAGAGTTCAAAGTTACTTTTTCTCTTAATACTTGATACAAGGAAGACATGTCTACTAGGAAGGAGAGGAGCTCCTCCAACGGTTCTCCAGGCACTACCCCTACTCCACCTCCTGTCTCTGGTCTACAGACGAAAGAAGGGACTACCACGAGACCAGCAGCTGGGTCTACGGAAACGCCCGCAGGCTTCGATCCAAGCATGATGGAGAAATTCTTCTCCTTCATGTCCTTCTACGAGCAGCACCAGCAAGGAGTACCTGCGCAGTCAAACAACAGCAACAACAACAACGTAACTCCTATGAGTCTCGACGGCTCATCCTACGCACGCGGGATTCAACAACAACAACAGCAGCCTACCTTTGCGCCGTACGAGCCCCAGCGTGGCTCCGCCAGCTTCATGCCGCAACCGCAATCTGCACCGGGACAAGAAAGGGCATTGGACGCATTACAAGTTCAATCGCAATTCGCGCATGTTCTCAAGCTGCAAACGACAAAGCCCTTCGACGGAAAAGACTTCTTCACCTGGTCGTTCGAGTTCGAACTGATGATGGAAGGAGCACAGATTCTCGGCTTCTTCGACGGGTCCCTGCCATATCCAACAAACGGGACACAATATGAGAAGCAGCAGTACACCTATCAATCAATGATGGCGTACATGTCAGAACATATAGCTTACTTGTTTGTGTAGGCTATAGTGGGGTATCCCATAGGGGGTACAACACATTAGGGTTTCCTATTTGTATTCACTTCACTTCATAGTCATCCATTCTCGTTCTTTGTTTCACATGGAATCAGAGCAGGTTCCCTCCTAGGGACTGCTTCTAGGGCCCACCGAACCGCGCCCCGAGGCGCGTTTTTTTTTAGCGACCCGTCGTGTCGCCCCTAGCGGCCCGTTGCGCCGCCCTTCCCCTAGCGGCTCCGCTGCCCTTCCCTAGCGGCCCCGCCGCCCTTCGATCGCGGCCCCGCCGCCCTCTGCTACGCGGCCCCACCGCCGCCCTTCGATCGCAGCCCCGCCGCCCTCGGCTACGCGGCCCCGCCGCCCTCTGCCACGCGGCCCCGCCGCCCTCTGATACGCGGCCCCGCCGCCCTTCGATTGCGGCCCCGCCGCCCTCTACTACGCGGCCCCGCCGCCCTCTGCTACGCGGCCCCGCCGCCCTCTACTACGCGGCCCCGCCGCCCTCTGCTACGCGGCCCCGCCGCCCTTCGATCGCGGCCCCGCCGCCCTCTGCTACGCGGCCCCGCCGCCCTCTGCTACGCGGCCCCGCCGCCCTCTGCTACGCGGCCCCGCCGCCCTCTTCGGTCGCGACCCCGCCGCCCTCTGCTACGCGGCCCCGCCGCCCTCTGCTACGCGGCCCCGCCGAGCCGCCCAGCATCAGCCGAGCCGCCCAGCAGCAGCCGAGCCGCCGCCGAGCCGCCGCCGCCTGAGCCGCCGCCCGGGCCACCTGAGCCGCCGCCCGAGCCGCCGCTGAGCTGCGGCCGAGCCGCCGCCCGAGCAGCCCGAGCCGCCCGTGCCGCCCGAGCCGCCCGAGCCGCCCGAGCCGCCCGAGCCGCCCGAGCCGCCCGAGCCGCCCGAGCCACCTGAGGAGCCGTGCTGCTGTTCCTGAGCTGTGTTCCTCTGCTGCTGACCTACCCGACTCTCCCAGCCCGGTGAGACTTTCAGCTGCTGCCATGGCCACCCCCAATGTTCTTACTTTTGACGCTGAGGGGAGGGCCATTGACTTTGCCGTCTGGATTGAAGACCTGCAGCTGTACTTACTGTGTGATGCGATAGATGAGGTCTCTCTCTTTGACTTTGTCTCTGGCGCTGTCCCTGCCCCACCTGCTGATGCTGACTCTGCCGTTCGCTCCAAGTGGGCGACCCGCGATGCTGCTGCACGTCTTGCTGTGCGTCGCCACCTCCCTTCCTCTGAGCGTGCCCACTTTAGTCAGTGCAAGACCGCTCAGGCCTTGTACGACGCTGTAGTTGCACGCTACTCCTCCCCTTCCTCCGCTACCCTTAGCCGCCTCATGCTACCGTTTCTCTTCCCTGACCTCGCTTCCTTTCCCACTGTCGCTGACCTCGTTACCCACCTCCGTGCTAGTGACACCCGCTACCGCGCTGCCCTTCCTGCTGAGTTCCGCGCTGCGAACCCTCCTCCCATGTACATCACTCTTTACTTTCTCGTCACCCGTCTCCCTGAGTCCCTTCGTGTCGTTAGGGACCAGTTTCTCTCTGTCTGTCCCACCACTCTCACTGTCGACCTCCTTGAGGAGTCCCTGCTAGCGGCTGAGAAGAGTATTGTCGCTGTAGGGGCCTCTCGGGGTGACCCTCGCACCCCCATCTTTGAGGGGTGTGGTCCTTCCCCCCTGCTGCCCTCTGTCGCCTCTGCCGCTGCGGCCGACCTCACTGGTTTTGAGTCGGTCGGCGCGGCGTCTGCCCCCAGCGGCAGACGCCGCTCTGGCAAGGGCAAGGGGGGCAAGGGAGCGGGTGGAGCTAGAGGGGGCGGTGGAGGAGGCGGTGGGGGTGGCGGGGGGAGTGGGGGTGGCGGTGGGGGTGGTGGCGGGAGTGGAGGTACTGGTGGCGGCGGTGGAGGCGGAGGTGGCGGCGGAGGTGGTAGCGGAGGAGGCGGTGGGAGCGGTGGGAGCGACGGTCCTGGTGGGGGAGGTGGAGGTGGAGACGGGGGTGGCGGTGGAGGCGGGGGTGGCGGTGGAGGCGGGGGTCGGAGTGGCTCGTCCCAGCGGAGCAGCTCTGGGGGTGGTCAGCGCCAGCAGCAGCAGCAGCAGCAGCCGCAGCAGCAGCCACAGCAGCAGCAGCGCTCTCGCACCGTCCCCGCCCCTCAGCAGCTCCGTGAGTGGTACTCGCAGCGTCAGCGTGGTGGTGCGCTTGGTCCTTGCCCCTACGTTCTTCGCACCGGTGACCGTGCAGGGGAGAGGTGTGGAGGCGCCCACACAGCCCGCCGCTGCTTTGGCCGCCTGACTGACGCCTGGCGTCAGCAGTTTCCGGAGGCAGCTGAGATCCCCCGCTGGGGAGAGCTGTCTAGGGCTGGTGTAGCTATTTATGATCTTGATTTTGATGATATTCTCTCTGCTATGTATGCTGCGATTGGTGGTGATGAGGATGACTGTTACCGGTGTTTCCCGCCCGACCCGGGCATTGGTACTGCCGCGTCAGGTACTAGTGAGGCTGCTGCTCTAGGTGCCAGTGCGTCTGTGCTCTCAGGTGCTGGTGAGTCTGCCCTCTCAGGTACTGTGTCGGCTTCGGCCTCTCACACCTTCACCCTTGACTCTGCAGCGTCTCGCTCGTTCTTTAGGGACCGCACCACTCTCACGCCGCTGAGTCGGCCGGTTGCGGTGTCCCTGGCTGACCCCTCTGGGGGGCCTGTCCTGTCTCGCTTCTCCACTGTCCTCCCGTGTCCGGCGGCCCCCTCTGGCACCCTGACT